ATAACCTCAGTGAGATTACAGCCATGGTTCAGAGAGTAGTCCTATAAGAATCAATGCTAGCTAAGTTGTTCACATTTGTTTCCCAGTTATTTGATTCAACCTTAGGTAAAATGCAACAAGATATCTGATTTGAGAGTATTTTTCTTAACATAAGATAGCTCTCGAGATCTCTCTTGATTTCAAGTGCACTTGAACAGAATGAATATTATAGTCCCTGTGACCTTGAAGAAACAGCTAGAGAATTTATGGCTGCTTTGCTAGTATCAGGTTTAGTGACAGATTTCTGATTAGGTAATCCAAACTCCAGTCCCCGATAGGCTGTTTCAATGAATTTCTTTTTGCATTAGATATTAAAAAGACATCAGACTTTCACAGGAAAGATCTGATGTCATTCCCCTGACTTTAGAGTCTTTTAAGAGTTATATGAGTACTCTTGTGAACACTGAAAGCCTCATGAAGGGAGAAAAATGACTGAGGATAAATGAAGACTATCCTTTCTGTTAGCTGTCTCTGGTGGACTCATGTGCATTGCCTCCCTTCATATTCTGTGGGTTTCTGGTGTTAATAAACAATAGGTTAGATGCTGCACCCATTAGTCTTTCTGAAATGTATGGGGTGCTTCTTACATTATATTCCATTGAAATCCTTCCATGRAACTCAAACCCCAAACACTCTGATGCCATAAGGAATGTATCATATGGTGAAGGTAAACATCACGCCAAGAGAATTATATATATATATATATATATATATATATATATATATATATATATGCAAACTTATTCAGCACTGAAACCATGATGTCATACTGATGGATCAAATTTGAGAGGGTGTTTATGGATCTATACAAGTATTTGTCAACCTGGAGGTTGGGACCCCTGGGGGTCGCGAGGGGGTGTCAGAAAGGTTGCCAAAGACCATCAGAAAACACAGTATTTTCTGTTGGTCATGAGGGTTCTGTGTGAGAAGCTTGTCCCAATTCTCTCATTGGTGGGGTTCAGAATGCTATTTGACTGTAGGTGAACTATAAATCCCAGCAATTACAACTCCCAAATGTCAAGGTCTATTTTTCCCTAACTCCACCAGTGTTCACATTTGGGCATACTGAGTATTCATGTCAAGTTTGATCCCGATCCATCATTGTTTGAGCCCACAGTGCTCTCTGGATGTAGGTGAACTACATCTCCAAAACACAAGGTCAGTGCCCACCAGATGCTCCTAGTATTTTCTGTTGGTCATGGGAGTTCTGTGTGCCAAGTCTGTTTCAATTCCATCATTGGTGGAGTTCAGAACGCTCTTTGATTGTAGGTAGGTTAACTATAAATCCCAGCAACGGCAACTCCCAAATGACAAAATCGGTGAATGAAAATACATCCTGTATATCAGATACTTACTTTACAATTCATAATAGTAGCAAAATTAGTTATGAAGTAGCAACGAAAATAATGTTACAGTCCGGGGTCACCACAACATGAGGAACTGTATTAAGGGTTCGCAGCATTAGGAAGGTTGAGAACCACTGATCTATACTAAGGAATTGATAGAGGCCTAGATTCTTTAGTCAAACTGAAGACTTTCTCACTAAAGGTGGCAAGTCAGATGTGTCCTGTCCTGGAAAGAGATCATCTGGCCACATTAGCCATCTCCTGTTGACCTGCTGATTGGACTATTGCAATGTCTTGTCATTGACTGCCTTGATAATACAAAAAAGGGATTGGTACAAAATGATTTTTTCCCTGGGAGATTTATTAAATTCCTATATTTATGTCTTGCCAATGACAATTTGTATTTTTGCAAGCTTTTACTGTCTTAAGTGTTTTTGTTTGGGTTTATATTGTTGTTTCAACTCCACTGATTTATTGTTGTTTTATGTCATTATATCTTTCTGTTATCATATTTGTTATTGCTGTAGATTTGAATGCAAACTGCCTTGCACTAATCATTGCACTGAACAGTACCAGAGGAAATACGTATCTAAATGATACTATTATTCACAGTGGCACCTGGTTGAAATGTATCATATAGTCCAATTTGTGAAAAATATAAGATAAATGTGTTTAGCTTATATTTCAAAGTCAGTTTGATTAATCCTCTTATAGGAACTCCCATTAGAACTTTATGAGTTTGTTATTGATTGTTCCATGAAACCTATTTAATCAATAAGAGATTTATCTGGACATCTCTAAATTGCCTCATGGCAATTCAAAGATATAAAAACTGGGCTTGAGACCTATAGTCCAAGCTATAACAACTTGAGGCCTAAATACCTGAAAGATACTAAATTGGGTCTGATTTTGAAAGCAAAGTAGGGGCAACTCTGATTACTACTTGGATGGGAGAATACCAAGGAATCCCATGTACTATAGAAGGCAATATAGAGGAAGGCAATATAAAACCACCTCTGTGTATTCTTTGCCCAAGGAAACTGTGAAATTAATGGGGTCAGCATAAGTGAACACATGACACACTCTGAGCCAATATTTTCAGAATGTGCTTGACACATTCTGATGCCATCCAAAAGATGGTATCAAGTTGAAGAATGCTCTTTTAAGCTTTCCAAAATTCAGTCTGATGATGTATAATGATGAGAAAGACAGGAGTTGTAGTCCAGCATTAGAAAGGCCACATAAAATAACATGGAGGGCTGGATTTGGCCAGCAGGCCTTCTGTTTGACACTTGTGTTCTATACAATCAAAGGCTTTGCTGCAATATATAAAGCACAAGCTGATTTTCTTCTGAATCTTTTTGGTGTGTTCCATTGTCCAACAAATGTTTGTTATTGTATATGATCCCTAGTGTCTCTTCCTTTCCTGAACCAGTTTGCATGTCGGGCATTTCTCATTCTATATATGGCAAAAGTCTTTGTTTAGAACTTTGAGCAACACTTTGCCTGTTTGGAAAATTGATGCAATGGTCCCTTGTTTACTGCAATTCCTGTTGTCGCCTTTCTTAGGGTCTGAAATATATTCTGAGCATTTCAGATCTGTTTGGCTCTTCAGCAAAACCTGGTTTGAGGTGGGATACCTTACCAATAGCACTTCTGCCATCAGCATAGCATCTTGCCTCACAAAATCATACAATGCCCCCCTTCTCTCGGAAAGGTAGCAGCACTGGTGAGACAAACAATATCTGATATGAGACAATCTAGTAGGAAGCTAGGTAAAATGGTTAAATCTAGTGCAACTAGCAGGTAAGCACTGGTACGTATTTAGAATGCACCAGGAATTACATCGTATTATAAAAAAGCAGGGAGTATAATTGTTGAATAGGCATGGAATGGAAATATACATAATACAGCTTTTCCTGTACATAGCCTTCATATGGCAGACTATTCCTGTAGTGTGTTTTCCAGTGTGTTACAGGTATTTTCTGCATGGCTTATGCATTATGCCAGGTAACATTTGCATATAAGGAAATACAGTATTTATTTTACACTACAGTGTCCTTTAAAAGCCAGGGCAGATAGAGAGAGGAAATTGGAGAGAACAAAACACCCAGTTGTTTGCCAGAATTATATAGTTTTCACTGAGCCCATAGATATGGCTTCAGAGCAGCATAACTAAATCAGTTCAGTATCACTTTGTAGTTTTACAGAATGCATTTTTCCAACAAGGGAATATTTTAGCTACAATTCTGTGCACATTTACTTGGAATAAGTGATGTTGAACTCAGTGGGATGTTAATCCAAGTAAACATACAGATTGATTATTATATAATCTTAGCCCGCTTATATAGGTTTATTGTTCCAGAAAGTTAACTTGATTAACTTCTAGAGTTGCAGATAGATTTTGATATGAGGCTACTTAAATGACAGAGTTTGGTTCATCTTCAGAACCAAGTTTCTGAGGAATAACTAGGATTACTTTAGAGTAAAGTAGCATCAAGGACTGTAACTTATTATACATGAGATGAAATATTTTTTCCCCAGTGGGGAATATCTGTAGGACAAAATGTCATTATATTCCTTTCTGGTCTCAAGGGCAAAGAGGTGAGAAAATGAATGCTGCATAAGAACCTTTGTTTACGATCAAAACAATAAGATACTCAAACCAAAGCAAGAGTTCTGTGAAGACAATCATTCACAAAGTCATGATCTTAAAAGGTCTATTTCTGTATTACCTTCGAAATATATTTAAATATGGAACTTTACTTCCGTTAAAGTATTATGTTTAGTACAGTATTACAAGAACTATAAAATTGTATTTAATGGCATACCTAACTTTAGTGACAAGAAGTGGACTAAATGCCATTCGGGGTCCTTTTTGTTATAGTGGTGCTACAGATTAGTGAACTCTTAAGAAAAGTTATAAATGGATATTATTACTGTGTATTTTCAAGTCATTTATAGTTTCTGGCAACCTTAAAACAAACCTATCACGTTTTTTGTGCAAGATTTGTCTGGTGAGGGTACCCTTGCCTTCCTGTGAAGCTGAGAGAATGTAACCCATCCAAAGTCACCCAAACATTTCCATGACTTAGTGAAGATTTGAACCCTGCTCCTGCTCCCCGAGTTATAGCCTAACACTCAAACCACTATACCACATTCACTCTGAAGTTGATACTGTTGTATCCATTCAAGTCATTACCAACTTATAGAGACCCTGAGGCAAACTTACCATGGGGTTTTCTTGGGTAGATTTGCTCGTAGGGGGTGGCTAAGAGTGTGTCACTTGCACAAGGTCACTCAGTGGATTTCTGTGGTTGAGCACGGACTTGAACCCTGGTCCCTTGTGTTGTAGTCCAACACCGAAACTACTATACCCTGCTGGCTTGTAAGTGGATATATTATATTGATATTTGCTAGAATATGTTCCTGTCCACTTCTCCTCCATTGCATTTAGACTCATGAAGATTGCCTACTACCCTCTGCCACCAGGGAAGATAACACCTGCTATTACCATGCAAGCTTTCCATATAATGGAATTGCTGTGAAACACTCATCATTTGGAAATGCAACTGATGGTTCTTCCCACCTCCCCATTTGCCCTCCTCATCTTACCTTGTAATTTCTGGCTGTATTCACTCCTGTCAGATTGACTCCTCCTCAAAGTCCCAGAGCTGTTGTGGTCCCCAGAAGCATTACTCTCCACCACTGTGTCCGTCTTCCTCCTCTCCAGCATGTAGAGCCTGTGACTTAAGAAGGTCAAGTTCTTTTTCTTGGCCCCTGTGCTTTCTTTTCCATGAGAGGGGTCTTTGGTTTCCATAACTAGATGAGATCTGGTTGTGAAGAAATCCCCTTCCTCACTCCACTTGCTTGGAAGTTAAGCTTCTGGAGCGTTGTGCCTGCTGCCTGTTGCTTGGGTGAAAGGAGCTGCTTCTTAGTTATCAGCGGGCTCCTTCAAAGACCTGCCAAAGTTCACTTCTTTACCTGGTTCACCTGACTGCCACCTCTGCAGCCTCGCAAAGCTCCACCCCTATGAAGTCATCCTTTAGTACACTGACTGGGCAACCAGACACCTGTTACCTGAGCGACTTGCAACACAAGGCATGGCAGAGCAGCCGGAGAAGCTGTTCCTCTCCAGCCCCTTTTACAGATTGCCAAATGACAATCGTAGGCCTTTGTATACTTGCAATGTTTCCTCAATTCACTTTGCAAAAGAATGCAAGCAAGGGAACATTTGCCAACAATGTTCCCTTACTTGCAAATCAAACAAGTCCATCTTAAAATGGATGCCCAATTAAATAAAATAGCTTAGGTTTTAAGCTTGTTTGCTCACTCAATATGTCCTATCCCACCCCCTTAGGTAAAAGAGGACGGGACATCTATAGATCTTTCCACTTGAATGTTTGTGAACATCTGAGTCATTGTCATGTAGGAGGAGGCAAAAGGATCTCCATTCTTATGCTTAGGAACTTGAGGGTCAGCCTAGGAGAACTTGTTCCCCAGAGCTGGGAAAGCAGATTGCACCCTGCTCTCGCAATCAAGGCAAATAAAAGGTACTTATTTTGGCAAGTGAGGCAGGAAATCCCACACTCGAATTTCTAATCTCTGAAGTCAAAATAAAAATAATTATACATGCAATTACTAACACGTTGCTGCACTTCCTTGACACGCAAAAATCAGTTGCCCGAAGCAACTGACTCATCCTGTTTAACAGAAGGGCCAGCCCGATGCTTAAATCTGAATGCCAAACTATGTTTCTCATTTGTTTCCCTTTCATCTTCCTCAAAGATGTAGGAAATGTTCATGGTTTTCCAGCCAAATTATCCACATTGGAAGGCCTCCCAATGAGCTTCGTGGCTGATTTGAACCTGGGTCTCCCTTCTCTACCAAACAGCCACTGTCTCGAAACTTGACTGTTCTGTAGTCCCATGGATAGATTTAACTTTGTGGAAATTCAGTACAAATGAGCAGATAGAGAGGAAGGAATTAAAACTATCTTGCTCTCTCCAAATTTTCTTTGCTTCAAGTTCAACAGAAGTACAGTTACTGCCACTTTCTTTCACTGGGATTTTGTAAACAGAATTAACATCTAGCAAAACTTTTTGAAAACCTTGATTGTGTTGCAGAAGGATGTCTTGGTATATGTTTCCACTCCTTCCTCTACCCACTCCAAATAGTTATACATTGATTAACAAAGAGCCATTAACAAGAGGGAATTTCATGTTTTGACCTGAGTGTCTCATTTCCAAAATGTGTGTGTATACACACACAGTATATCCAAAATCCCAACGAATCCAGATCTAAAATACTTCTGGTCCCATGCATTTTTGGACAAAGGATACACAATGAGAATGGAGAGCAACTATACTTGTTCTTAAGTTAGCCAGGCTTCAGTCACTATAGCTTTGGCACATGTATTGCACGGTGGTACAATGGGTTAATTCCTTGTGCCAGCTGAACTGCTGACCTGAAGACCAAACGTTGGCGGTTTAAATCTATGAGACAGGGTAAGCTCCTGTCTGTCAGCCCCAGCTTCTCTTGCAGGGACATGGGAGAAGCCTCCCACCAGATGGTAAAACATCCAGGCGTCCTTGCAGAAGGCCAGTTATCTCACACCAGAAGCGACTTGCAGTATATTCTCAATTCGCTTCTGACATGATAAAAAGAAAAACAAAAAAGTGTATATTTATATCTATATCTATCTCAGAAAAGCAAACAATCCTAAAGAGCATTGTTGATGGCTTTCATGGCCAGAATCACTGGGTTGTTGTGTGTGTTTTTAGGCTATATGGCCATGTTCCAGAAGCATTCTCTCCTGATATTTCACCTGCATCTATGGCAGGCATCCCAGAGGTTGTGGGGATGTCTGGCATAGATGCAGGCAAAACGTCAGGAGAGAATGCTTCTGAAACATGGCCATGTAGCTCGGAAAACACACAACCCAATCCTAAAGCGCATTTGCAAATGTGGGAAGGGGGTTATAATATGTGCAGAATGTAGTATTCTCTTATCCCGTCTTCTTCCTCATATTAGAAACATTATTCTGCATCTTAACGGTCTCCTTTATGCCTGAACTATCATGGTTTTATGACTTTCTTTATTTTCAAATGTTGGTCCAGGAACTATCAAAGACACAGGAAGCATGCTCTCAGCGTGAGCAGCTAGTATGTATGTGGCCTAGATTAAGTTTAGGGGTAAATGAAAGAAACCTGCATTTTCTAACCATGCTATAACTAATTTAATTGGGCTAGTTATATTTTTTCTTGTCATAGCTCTTGCTCCTCTTATACCCTGTAAAATAACCCCAAGCAAGGACAAATGAACAAACCACCTTGCAGAAATTACATCTTGTTTCAGTATTGTGTTCATTTAAAAAAATCTAATGCTCATGTTTTGTTTATGAAGTTACTTCTGTATAAAATTTGAATTTTTCATCTGGATCAAGAACAAGATCTAGTGCATCTTGGGCTGTGTTCGGGGTCTTTCACTCTATTTCCCAAGGAAAGATAAATGAGAACATAATGAGCTTTTAAAAAAAATTCTAATTCAGTTAGATTATATTAGGAGATTACTAGACTTGAGTCTGCTCTCTCAAATCCCAGTCCACAACGTCACCATAATTTTATTCTGTATCAGATAAATACATTTCAAAAGCAAATTCATATCCATTTATGTTATGCTTCATTGAATGATTTTTGTTCTGAGTCCTCCTTATTTATCATGGTTTTGCAGAGCAATTATAAAAGTTGGTTATTTGATTAACTTTGTTTACTCTTTAGTTTCCCTTTTAGTTACAAGGTAACTAAACGAGTTAGATAGTAAGCAAATTTGTGGTTGTTGTTTATTCATTCAGTTGCTTCCGACTCTTTGTGACTTCATGGACCAGCCCACACCAGAGCTCCCTATCAGCCATTTCCACCCCCAGCTCCTTCAAGGTCAAGTCAGTTACTTCAGGGATAATATCCATCCATCTTGCCCTTGGTCAGTCCGTCTTCCTTTTTCCATCCATTTTGCCCAGCATCATTATCTTCTCCAAGCTTTCCCGTCTTCTCATTATGCGGCCAAAGTATTTCATCTTTGCCTCTAATATCCTTCCCTTCAATGAGCAGCTGGGTATTATTTCCTGGAGTATGGACTCGTTGGATCTCCTTGTAGTCCAGGGCACTCTCAGAATTTTCCTCCAACAACACGGTTCAAATATTTCCACTAAAACCTTAAGCAGTCTTGTATGTTTTAACTGATACAGGACAGTGGAAATAAAAAAAAAATAGTAGTGCCTTTTTACCAGTGAGTCAAAAGCGCAATCCTGTATGTAAATATATTTAATTCTTAAAGACTCAGAAGTGCTTTTGTCAGTTCCTTTATGTGAAATATATCTTACTGCACCTGATATAGTAATTGGCAGTCTCCCATCCAAGTACTAACCAGGGCTGATCCTGCTTAACTTCCAAGATCAATGGTGCCTTAAGGTCTCAGTAAAGTTAAGTGTCCCATTTGCACAAACAGCCATGGATACATATAAGAATGAGCAGATATTTATTCTTTAAATACATCAGATGTATACGATATTTGCCTTTGAAACAATGATAATAAAATGGCTGGTAAATTCTTTGAAATCTAAGATATAATGAGATGCCATATTTACCGTTAAGAGTGAAAATACAATCCATGTATTTCCCCTCGCAGGCACACGTTATTCTCGTGTTGATTACAACCTCAGTGTTGCTAATGTCCATATGAATTTTCCATATATATATATATATGAGACAGCTTTTTTCCCTGAGGGAACAGGTGCTAATCTTCACATAGAAAATATTGGCCCTGGGTTCTCAAGCAACAATATTAGAAGCATATCAGAGGTTATTATTATGCAGCCAATGCTAATCTTTATCTTGCATCTTCAGTGAGTCCTGTGCCGAAGGCATTATTATGCCTCTGGGAGCTGCTAAGCAAATACACTGTTCCTTGTCACTAGGGCATGGCATTTTCTTGGTAACCTATTGATAATAATATGTGGAAAGGTCATGTAAGCTTGTGGTTTCCTTTTTAAAAATATTTCCAGTTTGGACACTCCGTTTGCAAAATGAAATGTAGTCATGAAGCAAGGAGGGCAGTATGGTGTAGCATATTTGGCTGTTACGCTAGGACTTTGGAGACCAGGGTTCAACTTCTTGTTTACTCATGGGTGATCTTGGACAAGTCCTACTCTCTTAGAGTAAGGCAAAACAAACCCCCTTTGAAGAAATCTTGCAAAGAAAACCCCACGTTCATCTTAGGATCTCCATAAGTTGGAAACAGCTGGAAGACACAATACAACAGGCAAAATAGCTATGCTTCCCTCTCCCCCACCCATCTGCATAAAATCAGATAATTTACAAAGGGCAGTGTATCTCAACCTGGGGGTTGGGCTCCCGGGGGGAGGGTGCGAGGGGAGTGTCAGAGGGGTCGCGAAATGCAATCAGAAAACACAGTATTTCTTGTTTGTCGTGGGGGTTCTATGTGGGAAATTTGGCTCAATTCTATTGTTGATGGGGTTTAGAATGCTCTTTGATTGTAGGTGAACTATAAATCCCAGCAATTACAACTGCCAAATGTCAAAGTCTATTTTCCCCAAACTCCACCAATGTTCACATTTGGGCATACTGGGTATTCGTGCCAGATTTGGTCCAGATTCATCATAGTTTGAGTGCACAGTGCTCTCGGGATGTAGGTGAACTACAACTCCAAAACTCAAGGTCAATGCCCACCAGACCCTCCCAGTATTTTCTGTTGGTCATGGGAGTTCTGTGTACCAAGTTTGGTTCAATTCCATTGTTGGTGGAGTTCAGAATGCTCTTTCATTGTAGGTTAACTATAAATCCCAGCAACTTCAACTCCCAAATGACAAAATCAATCCCCCTCCCAACCCAACCAGTATTCAAATGTTGGCGTATCGAGCATT